TGGTCTGGAGCATTCTTGGGCAAAAGGGACTTAATTTTGTTTAAACAGTGAGTGTGGCACCCCTAGGCCTGGGGGCAGAGGATTGGGCTTAATGAGAGAAATAGAACAAATTCTTCAAAATCCTTCTGCTTCTGTAGGAACAACAGGATTTTGTCCAAATTTGGTATGAAGCACCCTTTGGTGAAGGGGCACTAACATTGTATAAACGGTTGGCCTGACCCCCCTGGTGGTAGAGAGGCGGGCCCAATAACGGATATATAGGAATAGCTTTAATATCCTTTTTCTTCTGTTGGGATGAAGTATTTTGACCAAATTTGAATAGTAGCATCCTATGGGGAAGGGAAATCAATTTTGTATAAACATGGGTGTGTACCCCCTGGGGCCTGAGGGGTGGGGTCTGAGGGGTCAGGGCCCAATAGGGATAATTTAGCAAATTCTTTAAAAAAAATCTTCTGTAGGAATGACAGGATTTTGTCCATATTTGGTCTAAAGCATCCTTGGGTGAAGGGGACTATATTTTGTGTAAATGCTGGGTCTAACCCCCTGGGGCAGAGGGGTGGGGCCCAATACTGGAAACATAGCAAATTCTTCAAAATACTTCTTCTTTGTAGGAATGACAGGATTTTGTCCAAATTTGGTACAAACCACCCTTGGGTGAAGGGGAACCAATCTTGTATAAACTGTAGGTTTTTACCCCCTGGGGCAGAGGCAGAGGGGCCAAATAGGGAAAATAAAAAAAATAGCTTTAAAATCCTTCTTCTTCTGTAAGAATGACAGGATTATGTCCAAATTTGGTACAAAGCACCCTTGGGTGAAGGGGAACCAATTTTGTATAAACTGTAGGTTTTTACCCCCTGGGGCAGAGGCAGAGTGGCCAAATAGGGAAAATAAAAAATTAGCTTTAAAATCCTTCTTCTTCTGTAAGAATGACAGGATTATGTCCAGATTTGTTCTAAAGCATCCTTGGGTGAAGGGGAACTAATTTTGTATCAACGATGTGTCTGACCCCCATTGTGGAAACATAGCAATTCTTCAAAATCCTCCTTTTTCTGTAGGAATTACAGGATTTTGTCCAATTTCATATAAATATAACCCCTGACTAGAACCATGTAATACATGTACGGCAACATCTGGCTATTGCAACTTCAATTTTGCTAACATTTCCAGGTGAGCAATACAGGCCCTCTGGGCCTCTTGTTCTTAATTTCGAATAAGAAAGGTGGATGTAATAGAACGTAAATATAAGGTTTGAAATGCATCTTTTTAGGTCACCTGAGACAAAGTCTCAAGTGACCTATTGCGATCGCCTTTTGTCCGTCGTCGTCCGTCGTCCGTCGTCCGTCGTGCGTCCGTAAACAATTTACATTTTCGACTTCTTCTCCAAAACCCCTGAACCAATTTCAATGAAATTTTGCAGGGACCTTCCATGGACAAAGGTCAACAAAA